TTGCGAGCCTGCATATTTTCTAGCTAATAATTAGCATGTTTGTATTTCATGAATTACCAAATGAAAATGCAGCGCATCCAAATTTGAAGCTGTTCGTTTATCAAGGTGGACTTCAAAGTACAGAAGAAGCTATACACTTTGGAGTACCACTTGTTGCAATACCAGTATTAGCTGATCAAGATATGGTAGTCATGAAAATGAAAAGCTTAGGGGTATGCAGGAGTGTCGATATTTTACAAATGACTAGAGAAGCTTTAAACGAAGCGATTATGGACGTATTAAATAACACAAGGTAAAGTCATATGGTAAAATAATGTTTTTAAAGATAAGACTTTTTTGCATGAAACATYAGTTGTAGTAAAAAATAAAATGTGAACTGTAATAATTTGTTATTTTTAGCTATAAAGAAAATATGTTGAAACTTAAAAATCTCATGAAAGATAAACAATTTGACAACATGGAAAACGTCATTTGGTGGATAGAATATGTTATTCGTCATAAGGGAGCAAATCATCTCCGTTCTAGCATCGTAGATGAGCCGTGGTATCAAAGATACGACACTGATGTTATCGCCCTATTATCTATTATATTGTTTATAATTGCCGTCTTTAGCCTATACATTACTGTTAAAGTATTCGTAATTATTTTAAAATATTACGCAACCTTATTATCCAAAGAAAAAAATAAAAAGAAATTGAGCTAGTTGAATAATTGTAATTGAAAAGTGAAGGCTGTATTTATAAATTTCGGATAGTTTCTAGATAAGACAACTAAAAAATATGTGCATAAGTAGATAAGATTAGTGCAAAAAAGAAAACTAACCTACGTATAGGATCGTACTATTTCACCAGTCATCATTTACTCGATTAGACGTCATTTTTATTTTAATAAATTTCTTTTATCTTACGCAAGCGGTAACGTTATTTTTTCGTGAAACGATTCTAAATCAAAGTGAAATAATTAAATTTAAAAAACTTTTGGCTTATTTTTAGTACTGATAAGAATATAAAAATTATAGAAAAAAGTTTATTGCATGTTTATTATAATACATTACACAGCATTCGGACATTTCCTTCATGCGAGTATGTGAAAAGAGTTTCCGATTAAAAATGTCGCTCGTTCAATAAGAGTACTAACGGAATTTGCCATATTAAGATTGTTAAAAATATATAATTAGAATCGTCCTTGATCTTCTGGAAAAATATCTGTAGAAAGACGTGAGATCAAGGGAGTTAATATTTGCTAGTTCTGCATATCTTTATTTTTTATATTTCCAATTCCTAATTATGATATAATTATACAATCTCCATTGTCACAATAGACATATCTATAATACAAAGAAAAATGTTAATAAGAAGACATTATAAACATTCGTGCTGTATCATTCTATACTTCTTGTAATCAATTTCGAACTATCACGTTCTTTTCCTATTTCATATATATTTCGAATTAATAGATATTATTCTTTTTTGTCAAAATGGTAAATTCGTTCGATATAAAGTTACTTGGACATATGGAACAGCGACCATGTGTTTCAACCAATTAGACTTGAATCCTTCTAAGGACGTTCTTTGCTGAAACAAATAGCAACCATGTCAAGAATAAGTCTACTAATTAAACGAGTTTAATTTGCTGAAACAACCTACTGCTGTCCTATTCTTGTTTAATGTAACTATACATTATACGCATTTACTTCATTGGGAAGAAAAGATTACATGTACTAATTTAATACGTAATAAAAAAAAAAAGACAGTCCTCGTAAAAACAGAGTATGATGAGAACCGTCTACTGGCTAAATGTATTAATTCCCTTTATTCAATTTTTTCGAATGTTATCACTACACTACTTCTCTCTCTCTCTCTCTCTCTCTCTCTCTCTCTCTCTCTCTCTCTCAATAATAACTTACTTTTTATATTTAAAATTAATTTTCTGAATAATTAAATTTAAAACTATTATATGAAAACAATGTTCATAATCGTTCAAACATAAATGATACGAAAATACATATTTTTTATAAATTTTTTGTTTAGTTAAGTAAATTTGTTGTGTCAAAAAATTATTCATATAGCAAGAAAACATTCTCATAGTCATTTATAAGTTTTGATATCCACAGTTGACCAAAAACATAAATATAATCACTAAAAATAGTAATTATACAGTAACGTTAAAAATATTCTAATTTGTGAACTTTGACAGCATAATACAGATAATATAAAGATAAGCAGAGCTAGCATATCTACCACCTTGTAGTTTTATCATGCAATAGTTTTTCTCTGATAAGTCTAATTGCATCAAACATATAAAAAGGAAGCACAAACAGGATAAATACAGAATGCATATTATATTTCGGATATAAGTGTAATGGATTACATGAAAAGCTATTAGAGTTCTTGTCAGTTAGTCTATCGTGTTCTATTTCAATCAGACGTATATTTTCTTTCCAGTATACTCCTGAGTGTATTGCCGTTAGGTGGTTTAAAAGTTAGAAGAAAATATATTATCATGAAATTATTAATAGTTATAGTAGTGGCATATCTTTTGACTATCAACATTGGAATTACAAACAGTGCAAGAATTTTGGCTATATTTCCAATTCCTTCTTACAGTCATCAAATAGTTTATAACTCTATCTCCAAACATTTAAGTTTACGAGGTCACCAAGTTACTTTAGTTACACCAAATCCGATAAACGACACAAATCTGAAAAATTTCACCCAGATCGACATCAGTAATAATTACATACTACTAAAAAATGTCAACTTCTACAAAGCAAGAACAATGTACACATGGATTGATTTACTCAGGATTTATTTATTTGAAATAAGCCGAAATTTCTCCAAAAATGTTTTTGATCATCCTGACTTTAAAAAGATATACGCGCCGGAAAGCAATGAGAAGTTCGATCTTGTTCTAGTCGAAGCAATACTAACGCCAGCCATTTATGCATTTGGATACAGATTCAAAGCTCCTTTAATAGGTAAGTAAATGAATATTTCTACAATACAAATGATTAAATATAAATTTATTAAAAAAATAGAGAGGAAGAAAAAAAATAAATTAAGGTATTACTACAAAAAGAAATCACAAGAAATGATATTCTTTCTTCAAATAAACCATTTTCCTTAACAATTTACCTGGTTKCAATAATTATCTCTTTATCAAAAATTTAAAAATATTTATTATTATCCAAATAAATATATCGATGTAATCTTTACATACAATTCGTAATTAATTTTCTTGCAATCGTTTTAGTGTTAGAAAAAGACGGAGCAAGATTTGCTTTCATTGCAAAGTTTACAAAATGATTCCTCTTATAATGTTTATAATATAAACTTAAAACTTGTTCTTATCTTTTATCTTCTTATTTGTAATAAGGATAAGRAAGGCATAGACATTAATCTTATTCTAAATCTTTATTTCATTTCMAATCTCAAAGGTTTTGATATTTGTTTAATATATTTATAGGTATGAGTTCGTTAGCGCTTACACAATTATCTCATTTTAACCTTGGTAATCCAGTGATACCGTCACATCCTTCGTCGTTCGAGTTGAATAAAAGCCTTGGTTCGAATTTACCTTTTTGGACAAGAGTATACAATTATATCGTAACATGGTGGCACATACACGTAACTTGCAATAATAAAATGTACAAACCGCAACAAGAAATTGCAGAAAAATATTTGGGCAAAATACCTTCTATCATAGAATTAGAAAAGAACATGAGTATCCTATTTGCAAATCAGCAAGAAGAAATTTCATTTACCCGGCCCAACGTCGCTAATGTTATAAATTTTGGAGGCTTACAYATATCAAATGATATTATAAATAAACCTTTATCGAAGGTAATTTCTTGTATGTCACATCTAATACTTTACTTTCCTTTATTTTTGCATCAAAACTTTCCCTTTCATTATAAAATTTTGAAATCTGATTTAGTATTCATGATTTCTTTCTAGGAATTAAAAAAATTCATAAATAATGCGTTTAATGGTTTCATTTACGTCAGTTTTGGAACAAACGTGAATCCATTAACGTTTTCGAATATATTGTTGGATTCAATTTTCCATGTTTTCTCAAATTTACCAATGAAAGTTCTATGGAAATTCAAGGGAAACTTTTCAAAAATATCAAATAATATATATACTGCAGAATGGTTTCCGCAACAAAACATCCTGGGTAATATATCTGGGAATCTTTATATTTCTTCAATTYTTGCGAGCCTGCATATTTTCTAGCTAATAATTAGCATGTTTGTATTTCATGAATTACCAAATGAAAATGCAGCGCATCCAAATTTGAAGCTGTTCGTTTATCAAGGTGGACTTCAAAGTACAGAAGAAGCTATACACTTTGGAGTACCACTTGTTGCAATACCAGTATTAGSTGATCAAGATATGGTAGTCATGAAAATGAAAAGCTTAGGGGTATGCAGGAGTGTCGATATTTTACAAATGACTAGAGAAGCTTTAAACGAAGCGATTATGGACGTATTAAATAACACAAGGTAAAGTCATATGGTATAATAATGTTTTTAAAGATAAGACTTTTTTGCATGAAACATTAGTTGTAGTAAAAAATAAAATGTGAACTGTAATAATTTGTTATTTTTAGCTATAAAGAAAATATGTTGAAACTTAAAAATCTCATGAAAGATAAACAATTTGACACCATGGAAAACGTCATTTGGTGGATAGAATATGTTATTCGTCATAAGGGAGCAAATCATCTCCGTTCTAGCATTGTAGATGAGCCGTGGTATCAAAGATACGACACTGATGTTATCGCCCTATTATCTATTGTATTGTTTATAATTGCCGTCTTTAGCCTATACATTACTGTTAATGTATTCGTAATTATTATAAAATATTACGCAACCTTATTATCCAAAGAAAAAAATAAAAAGAAATTGAGCTAGTTGAATAATTGTAATTGAAAAGTGGAGGCTGTATTTATAAATTTCGGACAGTTTCTAGATAAGACAACTAAAAAATATGTGCATAAGTAGTTAAGATTAGTGCAAAAAAAAAAATTATCTTTCGTATAGGATTGTACTATTTCACCAATCATCATTTACTCGATTAGACGACATTTTTATTTTAATAAATTTCTTTTTTCTTACACAAGTGGTAACACTAGATCCAAAGTTATGGTAGAAAATGTGACTGTCGGACGAGAGTTTAAATACTGATTAAGAAAATGAAAACTAGGAGTGTATCTGAATAAAATTCAAGTAACATCAATGATTTTATTGAAAACTAACACACTTCAGTATAACTTCAATATATGCACATACGGAAATTACAAGTTACGAATATACGAATAACGTCCTGAAATTACACTTATTTAATTATTTTAGAATTGTTTAAATAAATGTAACTTTTTTTTAACGTTCCTGTCCAACGGTTACTTTGAAGGGGGAAATTTTTATTGAAAAAAATATCACATCGAAATTATTTAATATTTGAAGTATGTTAATAAGTATGTCATGCTTATACTTAATATAAGTAAAGTTTGTTAGAATAGTAAAATAATTGTTATTTAACTAATAGAGAAGTGTCTATTGTTGCTTAAAAGCTAAAAGTATTTGATCTATTTACCGTCTTCTTCGAAATCCACCGTTAGATTGATAAGTTGTCCTTTATGAAAGTTTTTTTATTGAATATTGTTTATGTGACTTTCTGTAAAAGGAAAATCTATTTATTACGAATATTATTTTTGTTATGCGCATGTAGCATTCGGAAAGTCATATAAACAACAATCAATAAATAAATTTCAGCTTTTCACAGAGGACAATCTGTCAGTTTACTGTTGAATTTCGAAGAGGACGGTATCTCGAACATATTCTACATTTTAAAACTACTATATACATTTCCTTTAATTAATTATCAATCATTTAAGGTATATCGAAAACTCTTATGCATTCTACTAATATTCGGGATTGTTTAAACTAAAATACATTTGTTTTAAGTTCCTAACCAGCGATGACTTCAACTTTAAAATTTTCATCTAATAAAATATTTTAGATATATTTTTTTAATTACTTAATATTATAATATTTAATATTTAATATTTTTCGAATCTTAATTATTTACTATTTGAAGTATTTGTTTAGGTATATAATAGTTAAATAAATGCACTATTGTTTAAACATTATTTAATTACACTCTACGTATATTTTATCTTGTTTAAACATTTGAAAAATAATTATTTATAGTTTACATGTATAAAAGAGACAATTCTGATATGCAATGATTTTCTTATTAAAATCAGTTAAGAATTATATCTGGTATTTTTTCAATGTTACTACTCTTTTTCAATTTTTTATGCTAGGGTACGAGACAACTTTAACCAATGGTAAACTCGATCATCAGTGTTACCAACATCAGAACTTTAAACTACACCATTTTAAGTGGATTTTTAATTTCATGTATTATTAAAAATTCATTACCATTTTTCTATTTTATTATTAAAATACATAATAACTGATTTCATGAAAATAATAAAATTGTACTATAATTGTATCTTACTCTTATATGTGTGTTTAAAATCATCGCATAATTCAGTTTCATATTTTACCGCTTGCGCACAACTACTTGCGCACGGACCACAAATATTTCTATCTCACTTCATGTCACCTAACTTGACTGTCCTTCCATTCGATTCTTACGTTATGTCCGGTACGGATTGAAATTGGCAAGAAGACGATTATTTCATCAAATTAGTGAAATTACTTGTGCCAACGTATACCAAACGATTATTACGGTAATTACTACAAAAATTTGTAATATATTTACATATGGTCCTCATTCTTTTAGATTTAAGATATGCATAATGCGTATATATATACATACATATATAGGAACGAATGAAACGATCGATACCGCATATGGTTGATTTCGATTAATAAAGATATTACTCCATTTTTTGAACTTGTGCAAATTGCTTAATCAGTATAATTTCATGATTTTATTTGTATATTATTCTATTAATTTTTTTAAACTACGAAACATATAAATATATATATTCATATTTACATATATTAAAATATGATCTAAATTAGACAGTTATATATTTACGCATAGCACTACTTACAAATTCACAATTTACATTTTATTAAATTTGTATGAAATTTAAAAAAAAATGAATGTTCTTCAACATAAATTAAATTTCTATCTCTTAATAGAATAATTTTGTGTATATTTATATATTGCATTTTTCTTGGTTTATGAATTTATGAGAGGTTACGATATAGTTGCCACTTCGTTTCTATATTACAGGTATATTCCAAATGGCACAATGTCAACTTTTCTTGGGCTTATTGAGGAATTACCAGCTATTTCAGTGGATTCATTTAATGGAAAAAATCTTGACTCCTCTGTATTTTTTCTTAGTCATTGTCATGTTGATCATATGAATGGTTTAAATCATTCATTTTTTGAATACTTAACGAAATATAATAAGTATCTTTATTGTAGTCCAATCAGTAAATTAATTTTGCAAAATAAATTTAGCTTGAATGATAGTTGCAATATAAAAGAAATTAATATAGACACACAAGTTGTTATAGAATACGATGACCAACAGGGTAATAATCACGTTGTCGTAGTATTAAGTGTTTCAGCTGGACATTGTCCAGGCTCTCTCATGTTTCTTTTTGAAAAAGAAGATAAATTAATACTTTATACTGGAGACTTTAGAATTCATCCGGATGATTTATCAAAATTAAGATCTTTACACATAAAACAAGGTAGTAGATTACTTCCAAAGAAATTTGATAAAATTTATTTAGATACAACTTTTTTAAATCCTGACTTCTCTTATTTACCATCTCGTAAAGAAAGTATAACGAAAATATATGAAGCGATTAAGGAATGGCTCGATCAAGACCCAAGGAATGTTGTTATGCTGGAATGTTCTGCCTGTTATGGTTCAGAGTTTCTTTTCATGGAATTATCTAAATCTTTAAATATGCAAATTCACGTTAAAGATTATGTCTATGATACTTATCGTAGTATTGCTGAATTAGCTCCCCATATTACAAATGATTTTAATAGTACTCCTATACATGCATGCACTAAAAAATCAGATAGATCATTAAAATGTCGTTATAATGTAAGCAAAGATAATATATTAATTATTGTGCCATCCGTATTAAAATGGCAAGGAAAAGATATATCTAAGATAGCTGAATGGGATGAACACAGAAGAAAAACATTTAATGTATGTTACTCTATGCACTCTTCATATAACGAGCTTAAGGCATTTATAGAATACTTCGATCCTGTTGAAGTATTTCCATGTGTTTGTCCGAAGGATCAGGAGAAACAAATTTATGATATACTTAATAAAATAATGACTAAATCTTCTGATCAAATCTCGAAACCAAATAAACATCGATATCAATTAAAATTGTCTTGCAGCAAGAAAATAAATGTAAATACAAGTACTTTTAAAAGTCTTTACTTTAGTGACGATGATAGTTGTTAATGAAACTTATTGTTATATAAATTGAAGGATCTTATTATTATGTCACTTAATTACGACATAAAGAATTTTAAAGTATGTATATATAATCATAGAATTACTTGATATTTTTGTACTCTTATATAATAAATGTAACAGATTTGAGATTATTATTTATTATCCATACATATTGTTTCATTTTTCAAGAACAACTTTTATAATTTTAAATATAAATTCTCATTAGTCTGTGATGATACAATTTCATAAATCTCATTTGAATAAATATTTTGTTACAGAACTTCTTATACTTTAGCATCAAATATAACAACAGTAAATATGGCAACAGCAACAGCTCTTACACATGAGAAGGTATGGTTTGAGAAACCATCCTATGATAAAGCAGAGCGGCTATATTTTGAACGAATGGCCAAGGTAAGAAATCATTGTTTCCATCTGATTTGTTGATATATATATATATATATATA